GTGTATTTATGCTTTGATTCATAGTAATTCCTCATGTTATGGAATTGATTTGCATTGGACACAAACTGTAAATAAAGAAATAAATGGCTGAAAGAGCAAAAAAAAAAAAAAAAGAGGAAGACCTCAGAAGGTGCAAACCTATGGCAACTATCAAGAGTTTGGCTTTGTGTAAGGTAAGTTTGAGCTTTTGGTTAGTCATCCATGTGAAGACATTGAGAAGACTGCTGGATAGGAGCCTGGAGTTCAGGGGAAATGTCCTACCAGAGGTATAAATTTAGGAGTCATTACCAAATAATCAAAATTTTAAAACAGGAGACAGGATTAGATTACAGGTGCTTGAAAAGTACTTGATAAGTGATACATATGTACGATTGCTTCTACTATAACACATTTTCTACAACAAATAGCTTATATGCAATTGTAAATAGGGGAACAATGTCAATATAATGTGGAAGTTGTATCAGACTAGAATTATAACCTTCAGCATGAAAGGAACAAAGCCTCCAACTTGGCTGCTGCAAGTCAGGCACTCATTTAGATTTATTTTGAAAAAATTAAAAGTGAGGTTCTGTACCTAGAGCTTTGTCCCTTAGGAGGTAAACTTACATGGTTCTTGCCTTAGGCAGATTCAACTTCTTCCTGGATACACCTTAATGGCAGCCTCACTATCTTAAAGTTCCTCTTCCATGTGTGTTGTCTCAGCTATTGTGAGTCATAATTTCTTCTCTGCTAGTTTCTTAAATTTTTCGTATCTCCTGCTGTGTCCTCCAGACATATCAAACTTTATGTCTGAGCAGTTCAAGTCATCACCTGCTATATTAATTTTTAAAATTTTGTTAATGCTCTGCTTATAAAGTTGCATAAGTTTTGAGTGGTCTCTATTTTTTTGAAATCTATAACCCTTTTGGTTTTAGAGTATGATTTTGCAAAATGAGAGCTTTTTCAGGATTTAGTATATCATTTTATACCAAAAATGCTTGCATACATGGAGTTGACATGTTACTTTTGTCCACATCTTTCCTGGTATCTTAACCTTTAGGAACTATACCTTTCCTGTTAAGTACACACACCTTTTCCTCTTCATTCAAAAATTCAGATGTGGGCACATGATCTGAGCTAGCCAAATAGAATACACTACCTGCCTGGCCATAGTGATTGTTGCAGGAGTAGACACAACTCAGTGGAGCCAGTCAGAATTATCCTGGAGCTATCATGAAGATGAAAGTTCTGATTTCTGGAACTGTCTTATACTATCATCAGCCTTAAAAATGATGTTGTTACTAGGAAATTAAGACACAAATGAACAATTTAAAGTAAATTATTCATCTTCTTTGTATTTCTCCAGTTCTTGGTTTCCTGTAATTCTATTTTACAAGACTTAGTTTAATTATCATCTTCTGTTGAAGGGTCTTATGACCTCCACACTCCACACACACATCTACCATGGGATGTGAACATCACTCTCATTTCCAAAGCACTTTTTACGCATCCCTTTTATAGGACTGTTGTGCAACTTTGTTTTATTGTCTGCTCTTTTCTTTCCCCTGTGGTTTGCTCTATGACATTCTTTTTTTTTTTTTT